TGAGTCGTCTAAACTCTTTTAGACAAAAGGATCGAAACAATTAAATAATTAATTAATCACATTAACTAATTATTTAATTAGCGGGAAATTAAAATTTACTTTCAATTAAATACCAAATTAGAGTCCAACTCTAATTCAACAATTATATGGCGGGATTATCCAATTAAAATCAAATTTTAATTAAAAATTAAATTAGAGTCAAACTCTAATTTTACAATTTAAGGCGGTTGAATTTAATTAAAATCAAATTTTAATTAAATAGCAAAATTAGAGTCTAACCCTGATTCCAATATTTAGGGCGAATTAATTTAATTAAAATCAAAATTTTAATTAAATGGTAAAATTAGAGTCCAACTCTAAATCTAAGATTTTAGGGCGAACATGTTTAATCAAAATCAAATTTTAATTAAACATTAAATTATAGTCTAACTCTAATTTAAAGAAAAGTTTAGGGCGAAACAATTTAATTAAAATCAAATTTTAATTAAATATCAAATTAGAACCCAATTCTAATTTCTAAAATATCTTCGGGTGAAAAATTAATTAAAATCGAATTTTAATTAAGTTCTAAATTAGAGTCAAACTCTAATTTAAATTGAATAAATATTTTAAATTAGGATAAAACTCCTAAATAAAATAAAATTCAATTGGGGTCAAAGTTTAATATTTAAGTCAAAATCCAATTTTAACGAAAAATGTCGTCAATTTTAAATAAAATTTTAATTTGGGTCAAAATTAAATTATGGGTCAAACCCATTTAATATATAATTTTAAAACTATTTTAAATTTCAAATTCAAATCATTTTTTCAATTTGCAAATAGACCCAAAATTGAAATTAAAAAGTAGTCCTTCAATTACTTTAATTGCATGATAGACCCTCCATTTAAAATTGCATATTGACCCTGGAAAGTAATTGCAGACAGGGGCCTCCAATTATTTTAATTGCAGAGGAACCCCACCTCCAAATACTGCAACCCAAATGCAAACCCTAGAATTTCTCTCCAAATTTCTGAAGCAACCCTAAACACGAATAGCCGGCGCCTGTTCTTAGTTTTCAGGGACGCCGTCGGCCTGAAGCCGGCGGCTTCCCTCCGCCATAGCAGCGCTGCTGTAGCGCTGATGTAACACTGCTGTGTTACAGCAGCACCGACTTGGCGCTGCCAAACCAGCAGCAGCAGCAGCCGCTGCTGCCCCCTTCTATCGCCAGGCAGCGCCTGCGCTGCCCGTCGAGGCAGCTTCGGTTGCTGCCCGGATTTCAGATCTATTCAAATTTTTTTTTATTAATCCGAAAATCAAATTTTCAAATTGCTAGAAAACAAGAAAAATATGTACAATCAACATTTGATTATTCAATCATGTAAATCAATTCCTAACAAACACAAAGTAGGCTCTGATACCACTGTTGGGAATCTACTTATACATGCACAGCGGAATTTAAAATAATTCTCGATTCCCACCAAGAATCGCCTTTGTGTTTAGATAGAAATTGTGATAAGATTGTACCTTTTCCAGATCTGCAAACTTCTTTGCTTTTGTTTCAGTTCCATCAACCTTGATTTGCCATCACAGCTGTCCAATTGTCCAGCCTCCAACGGTGATTCACACAGAGAATAAGATTGCAGCTTCTAGGGTTTTCTCTTGTGCCAGCAAGAATAATGAAAACCATATGGACCTCAAATCCTAGCTATGTATTTATATAAACCCAAACGGACTTGGTCCGGTCCAATATTTAATTAATCCAATTAATTAAACCCGGTCCGTAAATTAATTAATCCAATTAATTAATTTGGGAATATAAATAACAAATTCAATTAATTAATTTATCCAACGATTGTTAAATTAATCAATTGGCAATTTGCAATCTTCCAATTCTCTTTATTGTGCGACCCATTAGGTTCTCGACCACGATGCCTAACGACGTGAAATATTATTTTGATCTAATCAAAATTGATAAATTAAAACACCCTTTTAATTTATCGTCAATTCACACTCGCCGTCCCTGATTGACATCTAACAATGTGTCAGGGTAATACATGTGATGGGAAATGTCACGTGGTATGACAAAATCAAATTCGTTCGTTTACCGTGAAATTATAATCCCTTTGTCAATATGATCCGATCAATTACAAGATATGAAACTGTGTCAATCTCGATCATCAATCATATCTTTCACTCTACTATTAAGTCAATATAAATCAAAAACTCCTTTTCGACTTATGAGTTCACCTTGGCCAAGAATTTCATCATCGACTTAATTGATGAAACGCAGATCATAATCTCCTACTATTTAAGAGCGACGAATCATTTATTGATCAATCACAACCTTCATACGATTCTTGACGTACCCGAACGATGTCGTATTAGCGGCCCTTTTCAGAGCAACATCCAACACCACCAAAGTATGACTGTCCTCATATAAGGTACCATGACGACCTCAAGTCAAAGGACCAATTTTACTACTGAACGTTAGAGATTAACCACTGACACTCAGATAGTTATCCATGTGGAATCTCTCGACGGGTCTCCAATGTTTTGTTCTATAACAAAACATTCACGTGTTCATTTAAGTGTCACCACACTTTAACTTGTGAGATCAGCTACTTACTTTACAAGTAAGAAATGTCACACGTGATGGTCTATCCGTAATAACGATATCCGTATCTCGTTATTACTTACTACCACGGATGATTTAAGATTCAATCAGATGTAATTTGTATCTCACAATCACAACTCCTTGTGATTAACAAATTATAAATATTTGAACCTACGGACTCTATTATTTATTTAATTGTCTACTAATTAAATAAATTAAATAAATAATAGATCTGCCATTTAATTGCATTAATTATATATAAAAGTATTTATGTCCAAAGTTGATTGGACCTAGGGCATAATACTTATAGTAGACATGGTTGATTAGATGAATTAAATCCAGATTTATTGGCTTAAAAGCCGTTCATTACATCTTTTTCTTTGTATTTATCGAAATTCGTCACTCCAAATAACTTTAAATTGATGATCATACTTCAAACAACTATAAAGACTCTTGATATTGTAATTGGGAAATTTTTAATAGCATGGAATAGAACAGAGAGAAATGTGCTATAGAAGTGTACATTTCCCCTATTCTATCTTTCTCAGATAGTTCACTTTTGCTAATGAATTTACAGATCATAGACATACTACAGGTAACATTGCCACGACAGATTGGGACGTGAACTCCTTGCAAAATCCGGCTTCAGTGATACCTGTTTTCATGTTTGGTTCTACTTCCTTCGGGGGTTTATTTTCATGGATACACAGAAGGGTGATATTTCGAAGATGACTTGTGGGTTATCAAAATTAATTTGCTCTCTTTAATATAAATTATCTACACAATTTAATACAATTGAAAAACCCTTTCTTTCAAGAATACTCACGGTGTTTAAATATTGGAACAATGTTGGTGACCATAGTAATAAAAATATATACTTATTATTGAATCTTGCCCGTATTGGTATATATAGAGGTAGATATAGAGAATTCAAGGAACTCCATCTAGTTGTAGGTACCATCAATGGCAGGTCACAACTATTAACAGAGTCAAACGTGTTTATTAAATTTTGCACAATTTCGTTTAACCTATAATGTAAACATCTTAATGTCTATCTTTCGATAGAAAGAATTGAAGAAATGAAAAATAGTTTAAGCTTCAAAAGCAATAAAGGTTGCATGGAAATTTCGTGCACTTCTAAAACTCTAAGGGTGACGTAAGAGTCATGATGGAAGAGTATATATTTTTACACCATAAAATGACAAATTTGGTGAGATGTTTTAGTGGTGCCATTGTAGTGTATAGAGTGTTAGCTATTCGCACTGAAGTATTGAAAGACGTATCTGTGTCTTATTAAGGCCGTTTGAATTGCATTTTAAAAAAAAAATACATTTTAACAGTGATTTAATATGATTTTAAGCACACATTTTTTAATAAAATAATATTACACGTAAATTCAAATTTTTTTTTAAAAAATTTTTAACCACACATTCTTCATCAATATACTGTTCCAAAACATATTCTTTCAAAATAATTTAGTTCAGACACACTTAAATCTTCTGAAACAATTAATTGTTATGTGTTTGTATCTACGACTACTATTAATTAAGCACAAGTTTGAGTGTGCTTATAAATACATCGAGTCCACTACTTTCTGTGATTCAAAATAAATAAATTAACGATCTCACACTAATTTTTTTTTTTAAGTAATTTAAGCATGATAAAACAAGCATTTGAATGGGAAAAAATGACAAATAAATTACGTTTGAAAAACTACAACTTGGAAATGAAATTAGAGAATAGAAGTGTTTGGTCGTCAAAATCACAATATTGCACTTCAGCTTTCTCTCCACAGATAGCCATTCAAGCATGGGTCACATCTTCAAGGCAATTCAATACAACTCCGCTTTTAGCCATCAGTTGGCTGCAAAATTATTAATGATTTATAAATTCATTCAAAATCAAACATTAATTTAAATTACATATTTGTAATTACTATTTATTTTTATCCCCATATTTCTTGAGACACAATAATATTTCTCTTACTATTCCACTTTATGAATCATTTATAAATTTTCGAACGAATACTTAATATCGAGTTAAAATTTTTGTAATTGATTTTTTTTTCAGAAATGGATTTGGCCAGAAACTTCAACAGTGACATTTAAAATTGCTTGTGTGAATGAAAACAATGTTAAAAAGTTTAACTACTCGGCAGGGTATAGGATGAAATTTTTGTCCCATAAAATTAAAAAATGAATTTTTTAAGGACTTGTGTGATAAACTTTATATAGAACGTGTACTGAAGTGGATTTAAAGCGCGTGAAGAAATTTTTGTTCTCTCCCATTCTTTAAGACAAAATCAGCGTCTTTTTCAGACTCATTCGTCAGTAAATTCTTTCGAAAACCCTCCATCGACCCACACCCATAATCTCCAGCACCGCCACATACGTCACCTGCACCGCCATGTCGACCACCGACACCGAAGTTGATCCCGCCGTGTGGAATGCAATTGCAGGCTCCTCTGTTCAAATTCCTCCACGCAGTTCCCGCGTCTACTACTTCCCACAAGGCCACCTTGAAAATTCATCGGCAACCCCAATTCAGAGCTACGGTTTATTCCTCAGTCGACCCTTTATTCTGTGCCAGGTCAGCTCTGTTCAATTCCTCTCCGATAACTCCGATCAAGTTTATGCTAAAATTCATCTGCAGCACCTCCACCCGCGCCGTCCTCGCCTCAGAGACATTGGCAATAACAGTGAAAATGTGCAAAACGACTTGACTTCATATGCCAAGATTTTGACTCGGTCCGATGTTAACAAACAATACGGTAGGTTTTGTGTTCCCAAATCTTGTGCTGAATTGATTTTCCCCTGGATCGATTTCTCTGCTGAGCCACCAACTGCATTCCAGAATTTGATATTTAAAGATAATTTTAACGTTGCATGGGAGTTTCGCCATGTTTATGGGATCCGGCACTTTTTAACCTCTGGCTGGAGCAGCTTCTTGAACAGCAAAAAACTTGTTGCCGGGGACTCGGTTGTTTTTATTCGCAAACACTCCACCAATGAACTCTTCATCGGCATTAGGAGATCGATTCACGCGGACAACATGGGGAGGTGGAATTTCCCATTGGCAAAGAGGGAGAAGAGGGAAAAATTGGCATTGGAGGCAATTTCTTTGGCCGATCAAGGAATTTCTTTTGATGTAGAGTATTATCCGAGGGTGGGGACTAGGGATTTCGTAGTTAGTGCAGAAAGGGTGGAGGAAACTTTGTTCATTTCCAAAAGTTCAGGCTTGAGGGTTAAGATGGCTGTGGAGACTGAGCTGTTTTCAAAAAAGAAATGGTTTCTGGGTACCATCTCCGCGACCACTTCTCCTTGTTGTGGCACATGGATTGCCTCTCCCTGGCGAATGCTTCAGGTATATGTGTGTGCCGTATCTATTTTTGTTACTGTTTACTATGAAGTACTGGTGATAAGGTTATAGTACTAAGTTGGATAAACTGGATTCTTGTAGAATGATGATTTTGAAGTGGTTTTGGACCTTAACTTAGCCCTTGTTTGAGTCCCATTATAAAGAGAAATTTTGGTAAAATGTATTATGAAATAGTATTTTTTGAGAAAATGTGTGGTAAAAAAAGATGGGAATTTTTTGATTTACGTATAATCTTATTTTATTGAAGATCGTACGATTGAAAAGAAGAGTGAGGAAAATGTATTAAAATTTTAAAGAGCGTCCAAGAAGGGATTAGTTAGTAACATTCATGTAAAAATTTGTGCAAACGAAGTAGCAAGAATATCTTCTGTAGTGAGTCTATTTTCATCACATCTCAGACTCTTGAAGGAAAGATCACTACAACAAAAGGAGCTTTTTAAGGCATACATTTACGGCGTGCATTTACTGCATGCCGTAAAAAAACTCTATTTACGGAGTGCGAATTATGTAAGCCATGCAAAATCAACTAATAAAACCATTTACGGCATACATTAATCGCATGCCGTCAATGTGAGAATTTATGGCGTGCTGCTTGAGGCATGCCATGTTAGAATAAATAAATTTCACTTATTGTGGCATACATAAGCACGCTATAAATGCTGTCCATATTTGCAAATTTATGGCATGCATATGCATGCCATAAATACGGTCCATATTTCGCCCCCTTTTAATTTCCCTCGTTTCATTTGACGCTTCTATATAACTTCATCTTCCGTAGTACCTACTCTTTTTCCTCCCTCTTATCTCGCTTTTACCCCAAATCCCCTTTGCTTTATTCAACCCCAGTCGTTATTGTCCATCTGTCCGTGACTTCCGCCTGAGTGCCGTCGGCTCATGTGACTTGTGAGCCATTTCTTCTCTCTTTTTTCTAAGCTTTTAGTACATTTATGGATTGATTGTTGATTTGTGATTTATGTATATATTAATTGGTGATTTACAGATTTAATATTGTAATTTGTGAATTTGTGATTTGGGGTTTGATTTGCTATTATTGATAATTTGTGAATTTGTGATTTGGGGTTTTGATTATTAAGGTTAGTTAATATCTTGTGGCCATACTCGTTACATTTTCTAGTTTCCCAACAATGTACATGTTTCTAGTGTTTGTAGTCATCTCAAATTGTTGGAACCACTTCAAGCAAATATTTTAAATGTGATGACATGGGCAAGCTATAGTCTCCCAGATCCTACATTCAAAATGCCTTTTGACTATGTCTTGCTATCTCATATGCAAATAAAGGAGAAAAAGAACAAAGTTTTTTTTGACATTTTATCTTTGCTACAATTGTAGTGGGTATGCTATTAATAAACATTAATCTGCAGCTTAGCCATATGGAGTTTTAGTTGCTCTCATGGGTTCTTTTTTAGTGATTCAATATGCCATTTATATATATTGACTAGTAGTCGGGTTCTTAGTTTAGTTTACTATTTAGATCAAGAGCTTCTCGATGGCATCCTGCATTTCACAAGATAAAATTTTTAATCAAATTGTTAGTAATTTGTGGAAATTGGTGAACTTGTGAGAAATGTTAAACCATTCACAAATTACCTTCAATTGCAGAATTTGAGATTTCAATTGGCATCCCTCATTGCTTGTCATAGAACAAGTAATTACAGGTCTCGTAACTCCGCATGCACTATCAAGATGGGACAAAAACATAAGGCACATTCTGCAATTTGCATCCAAAAACTTAGTTGTTTTGAGA